CACAGGACATTTCTGGCCTTGCCTGCCTCCTCCAACTTTGGATCCTCAAATGCCAAATTCTCCCACTTTGTAGCTTAGCAGGCAGAGAAGCAGCTGAAAACCCTGTAGGCTATTGAGAATGAGTAATTGGACATTGGCCTTAAAAAAATCAATCTCTCCCCGATGTCCCTCCCCATCTCCATTACCTCTCTTTTGCCTCCCCCTACCCTTGGAGGTAAAGGAAATCATAAATACTTTTAGACCAAGGAGGCAAAATCGTACTATATTAAGTTTTTTAAGAAACAAGGTAAAGGAATTCATCCTATGGCAGACAAAGTTCAAAATACTAAAGTATAGAAGATATATACCATCTGCTACATACTAAATTATGTACCCCCCAAATTCATAAGTTACAACTCTAATCTCCAATGTGACTGTATTTCGAGATAGGACCTTTAAAAGAGGCAGTTAAGGTTAAGTGAGGTCATGTGGGTGAGGTCCTAATGTGATAAGACTGGTGTCCTTTTAAGAAGTGGAGGAGACTCCAGGGGTATGCAGAAAGAGAAAAGGCCACATGAGGACACAGTGAGAAGGTGGCCATCTGCAAGTCAGCAAGTGGGCCCTCACCAGAAATCAACCCTGCCAACACCTTAATGTTGGACTTCCAGCCTCCAGAACTGTGAGAAAATCCATTTCTGTCATTGAAGCCACACAGTTTGTGGCATTGTGTTATGGAAGCCCTAGCTAACCAATACACTATAGAATACAGTCGGCCCTCCAAACCTGTGTATTTGACCGATCATTGATCAAAATAGTCGGGAAAACAATTGTCTACACTGAATTTGTACAGACCTTTTTCTTGTCATTATTCCCTGAATAATACGGTGTAACTATTTACATAGCATTTAAATAGTTATAGATTATTATAAATAAAACCTTTACTTCTTTGTAAAAAGGAGACCAACATATGATTTTCCTTTCACATAGTCTGTGGTAATTCTAATAGGTTTTAGGATGATCCAGATGTTGAATAAGGGCTGTTCTCACTCCTTTTTATTTTAGCAATGGGGAGGGTCACTTGGTCCCCTCTAAAAAGGTTTTTTGGTCTCTCTTTTCTCCCCCTGTGGGAATAGGCAGTAAGTCTTTCTCCCTAAGGCTCACAGACACATTTCAGTTCTTGCTGCTGTTTCTCCCCCATGGCTCTGGTAGATCTGCAGTTTCATGGGCTTTCCCTCCACTCCTGGAATAAAACAGACACACTTGGCCATGAGGCCTTTGCCCAGGTCTTGCTTTTTCATTGGAGAGAGCCCTTCCTTCTTGCCTCCTTTTTTCTGTTCTATCCAGATTAAGTCCCCCAGTTATAGACACTCAAGGGCACCACATACACTCCATAGCTCTTACCACAAATAACTCAATTATCCAATGTCTCTCTTTCCTGGCAGCCTCTGAACTTCAGGAAGGCTGAAGTTTTATTGCTTTTGTTTGACACTGAGTACCCAGCATCAAGCCTGGAAAATAATACTCGGTACATATTTTGTTAACAAACTGCTTTGGCCTGATTTATATTTTTAGAAGACAATGGAATGAGTTAAGGTCATCTGAGGTATAATTTCCAAGGGATAAGTGGAAAATATGCCACATAAAATTCCTCCTGGAAGGGATGGCTATAGGGAGGACTGTCAGATAGATGGAGAGACGGATGACATTTTCACTAGTCTTGCTACATTCTGCAGCCAATGAAAGAGGGCTGCTGTCTAGTTCTAGATTTCATGACTGTTTCAAATGTGGTTTTGATTTCTCCTTTGGTCTCAAGTTAGGGCTGGTCATATCAATGGTGCATTCTGGGCCAGTGGACTGGACCAATGTTATAGTTGCTTCCATTAATATTAGAGCTTCTAGGTAAATGACACTTTTTGTCAGTAGCATCTTCCCAACAATATTTTCCCAAAAATTTTGAGGCTTGTATGTAATTTTGGTCATAGGAATGTCACACTCCACTTCTTCCCTCACAACACAATTATTTTTCAGCCCCAAAGTTGCCCGTTAAAATTAGTTGTGGGTAGAGATGTGGGCGGGGACAGAGGCATCATAAATACTTTGGAAACTAAGAACTTGTGAGAAATAATTTTCCCTCTTCATGACTGCTAATTGTTAACTAGTCAATATTCTCTTGTTAACATACCACATGTTCTATTCAAATAAAAACATAAAATATTTCTCAAGAGAATTTCAGTGAAAAAATACTCTAGCTAAATCTTGGTTAAATAATGGTGTTTCTGACCTGTTCTTATTGAGGATAACTGTCCCTATTAGTGAATAAATTCAGTGGTGACAGGCATATAAAACAGAATTCACAATTGATATATACATGCCCATTATGTTCATATTTGGCTAATAACTTTATGCAAGTAGGAAGGTTTTCCAATTTACTTTGAGAAAATAATCTCACACCATCTTTTCTTTGAGTTGCTGCATCATTGCAACCTTAAAAAGGCCAGAGTAGACACCTTATGAAGAAGAGAGAAAGCAGCAGACACATTCAATCCCACTCAGGCTATAGGGTTAAAGCTGATGGACAAAGCTATGGCTCTCTGTTAAAATCACCTGGGGCCTTTTATAAACCCAGGCTACATCCAGACCAACTACATCGGAATCTCTGGAAGTGCGCCCAGGCATCAGGTCTTTTCAAGCTTCCCGGGAGATTCCAGTGTGCACCCAAGGCTATGAACTATTGGGTTAGTGGCTCCTCTAAGCCTGGCAACTCTCATCTGATTGGAAATAGGTCCCATAGACTGCAACCACTTTGCTAAAAACAGCTGCTCCCAATAAAAGAATGCAAATTCTCAGTAACATCGGTGTCACCAGAAACAAAGAAGGATGTTCACTGTAGCATGTTTTCATGATCGCAACTGCATGTCCAAGGGGACTGGTTAAGTAAATTGTGGTCAGCTTTAGAATATGCAGCTATTAAGAGACAACACAGTACTTTTGTTTACTGAGTATACAAACTAGATGCTGGGCACTACTCCAGGACCTTGGAATTCATCAGATTCAGAACAAAGATTCATCCTCATGAAACTTATGAAGAAGCTTATTCTGGAAAAGGCCAGCTACATAACTGGCAAGACTTGGAGTAAACTAAAAATGTGGGGGTCCTTATTAAAAAACTACTCAAAATTCAAGCCCATGAGAGCAGAGCATTACATCAAGCAAAGGGCCCTGCTAAGTGCAAAGCCCTGTGTGACTGCACAGGTTGCATGCCCACAAAGCTGGCCCTGATTATAGAGCAGGCAGGTGATAAAAAACAGAGATCACCAGTAAGCATGGAGACTACACAGCGTGTTAGAAGGTGTTGAGTGCTGCAGAGGAGAAAAGAGTAGAATACGGTAATCAAGTTGCAATTTTAAACAGGGTGATCAGGGTAGAATGTGTTGAAAGAGTAACACTTGAGTGAGGATTTGAATAAAACTAGGGAGTCAGCCATGGATATCTGGGGAAAAAGCAGTCCCAGGCCAGGGACCAGCTAGAGCAAAGACCCTAAGGCTGGGACTGTGCTAGAGAGGAAAGGAGGGACCAACCCCATCCTGGAGAACCTCAGAGCCTACTGTAAGGACTTTGACCTTTCGTTTGACATTTTAAAAGAATTCTGCCTGCTACAGGGAGAGGAATGTGTAGGTGGAATGGGGAAAAGGCAGAGAGAACCATGAAAAAGCAAATCCAAGAGATGGGGAGAGAGAAGGACAGAGAATGGGAATGAGTTAGGTGTAAGAGGTTTTATTTTAATGTATGTGTGTGTATCTATACACACATACATACTCCTAACTTGGAGAAATACCCACAATTTATAAGATACAGGAATAGTTCATAACATAGTTAAGGACTAATGGCCCATTTTTTTTCCATAAATCTGTATGTACACTCACACATATACACATACAGTTGTATACACACACACATACATAGAAAAAGACTAGGAATGTCAATGAACCAAGTTGCTAATAATAGTTATTTCTGTGGACTGGGATTGACAGGTATGGGGAAGAATGCCACTTTTTATACTTTCCTGATGTTTGAATCTTTTATTGTAAATATGCATTCGTTTTGTAAATAAAAACACTGAGAAAATATTTTTCTTACAGGCATGGTGGCTCATGCTTGTAATCCCAGCACTTTAGGAGGCTAAGTTGGGCAGATTGCTTGAGCACAGGAGTTTGTGACCAGCCTGGGCAACTGAGCAAAATCCCATCTTTATAAAAATACCAAAAATTATTTGGGCATGGTGGTGTACACCTGTAGTCCCAGTTACTTGGGAGGTTGAGCAGGGAGGATCAGTTGAACCTGAGATGTTGAGGCTACAATGAGCTGCAATTGTGCCACTGCACTCCAGCTTGGGAGACAGAGTGAGACCCTGTGTCAAAAAAAAAATTTTTTTTTCTTCATTTTGACTGGAAAATAAACCAGGACATCAAAAAGAGTAGAGTGCTCATTACCATGCAGAAATTCTCCTCAAAAAGGTTGTGTCATTTACTGAGGACTCTTCTGATTGCCAAAGATGTACATCTATTCTTTAGCTCTGTGAAGTATGTCCCTTTGTAGATGAGGAAAAGGAGGCTTCAGAGGAGGTTAAGAAATGTGCCCAAGAATCACACCATAAGTGATGAAACTCGTAGTTTGGCAGGGTTTATTACCAGGGTGCTAGGCTATACTATGCTGTGCTGTTGAAACTTTCATATGCATATGACATAGCTGAGGATCTTATTAAATGCACATTCTGACTCAGTAGGTCTGGAATAGGACTGAGAGTCTGCATTTCTAACAAGCTCCTCAGTGATGATGAGGCAGCTGGTCCACAGACCACACTTTGAGTAGCAAGGCACTATGCTACTGCAACAGCATGAGTCCCGCTCTTTCAGCACAATGGCATTTTGTTGAGTTAGAGTCAGGGGCCCTCAGTTGATTACTTGACCCTGATACATTTGAGACAACATAGAGACAAGGAAGATATCAATGCAGAAGCAATAGTGGTTGTGGAATGCATACATTTCCATGTATTTTTACAGTAAAAATGCATTAAAAAATCTTTCACAAAAGAAACTTAAAAAATACAATTAGGGTGTTGAGTCCTCCCCCCCAACATTCTTTCAGGCATCAACTGTGTAATGGAGGGAGATAAATGCCTAAATCATTTGATTTCATCATACAAAATAGTCATCCATCATCTCTCATCAAGACATTTACATTAAGTAGAGGAGCGGGATTAAGGAAAGTAGGTTCACAAGAATCAGTTTCCAATTTAAGGTTACAGTAGTTCAACGAAAACTCTTTCTGCTTAATGCATAGTCCCTATACAGTACAATATTTCCAAACAAATATGATGTGTGGAATTCAGGTGAAACTGCCACACCAAAAAGTCCACAGATTGAGACAAGCCCAGGTGGGTAGCACATAGATTTAAAAATGTCAAATATCATCTTACAACAAGAAGGACATCGAGATGTTAACTTCAGGATATACTCTCCAAATCCACCTTGATTTCATTTATTTAAAACTCTGGACCACAATTGAGAGTATAAGTCATTTAACATCACAGATTTTGTTAGAACTAGTGAGAAGAATCCTAGCAGTAGAGTCTTGGGAATAAAATCTCCAAGTTGACTCTCAGGAATTTGATGGAAAAGAACATCATTATTCAGTTGTACTCTTCCTCAGCCTTACTACAGCTCAATGTATGCTTTGTATGGAAAACTTTAATAATAAAAATAGCATTCACAGACTTTTCCCTCCTTTTTAGCTATAGAATGTGTATTGTGTCTGTTCCAGGAAAGGAACTTCTTTTCAAATGTCCACACAACTATAGCTACTCATTCTAATGTTATGTATAAACCCATAAGTCAAATAAAGCTATGAACAATGTAATATTTATATATGCATAGTGTTTTATAAAAAGATTGGCCCACATACTGCTTTTCATCAATACAGAAAGAGCATTAAGTCCATAGCACACTGCAAGAAATAAATGAGTGAAAAACAGAGAATGCAAACAAGTGCTTAATAATTCACAAGCAGGCTCACCATGGAGGAAATGATGATAATTCAAACCAACTAAAGCTTTAGAGAATTGCTTATATAGTCTCCCATTTTAAAACAACTTTACATACCTGATTTAGTTTACATTAAAATATATCCCCATGAATCAATTTGTTCCATATTCAGAAATATAAACACATATCACATTCCTCACAGCTAAATTTTTGTCATAAATTCTCTTTTATACAAGAAAAAAAGGCAACAGTTGTTTTCTTTTTTTTTTTTTCCCAACAGGCTCTATTAATTACAATTTTTAGCTCTGTACACACAATGATTGGCTGGTTTTCTTTTTTTTTTCTTTTTCCTTTTTTTTCTTACAGTACCATGGGAACAACAGTGATTGACTTGCAAAGTTTTCTGTCTGTATGGAAAATGCAAAAGTACTACAGAAATACACAATGCACTGTAAGCAGGTTTGCTGTAGTGGTCCAACAGGTACAAGCAAACATTTTGGCTCAGCTAGGCAGTAATCCACTTAAACCACATCCCGGGGCTATGGCCGACCCAACCACAACTCCTGTGGTATCAAAAAGAATGGGTCTGTTCAAAAAGAAAAATCATTATGTTTTGTGCTGCTGTCCAAAGACTCAAAGGACAGAGTCATGAGGCAGAAGTTTCCCAACCAGATCTAGAACCACTGGGACCACTTCCTTTCTTTCCCTTCCACCAACCTAGAGACTTGGACTATGGTTTCAAGGTGAAATTGGCATTTCTAAGAATGAATATCCACAGCCCTCAATTCTTTAAATATCAACAGAGAGGTTCCTTCCACCAAGGCTCATTCCCTCTTCCCCAATTTGGCAAAGGGCAACCATGGGCTTATACTAAAAACAGGGGCCATGCTTTCCAAATTGGAGATCTTATCCTCACACCAGGCATGCTGTCCCCATTCCATCTACTATTCAGCTTCCAATGAGACAACATGGAAGATGCTTGTTGTCTGTTTCTTGCAGTAACTGAGCAAAGCTGTGATGGCATTGCCTTAAATGAGATTTTATTAGATATTGGAGATGATCATGAACCTGACTGTGCTTGGGCTGTATTAGGTAAAGGTAGCCGACATTTTTGTCTCTGTGCCTTCCTGGGCCAGGGAGAGTACAAACTGTTTTCTGAACCAACTATAACTCACAATATAAAACTTTGTGCTGCACAGTTCAGCTATAAATATCCTTCATTTGCAATAGTAGTCTTGTCATACAGTTTGCTTAATTTTAGGATCATCAGCAAACTTAATCCATCCCAAAGGGTCCTCAGCTTTTACAAATAAAACTTTGCCTTTTTGCTCTCTGCTTTTAAGAAAAACTCCTGACTACAGTATAGCACTACATCACTACATAACACTCCATATCAAATTAATTAAACTTAATCAATAAATTCCCTTACTTAGAGAAAATGATCAACAGCCCCATTTAACCAGGAGAGAAAAAGATTGCCCAAAAATGGGAACGATTCTTGACGATTCTACAGGTTACGTAGCAACAAAATTTATATCCCTTTGGGCCAGCATTTGGCAAATAATTTCCAAAAAAGTATGCATTTAAAAATACTTTCTTTAATATGATACATCAGGCACAATACTTTTCATATATTTTTTTCTTATAAGATTTCAAATGCATAAAATGTTTGTTGTTATTCATAGGATCATCAGGTGTCAGATGCTTCATTAGATAAGAAACTAAATAATTTCAGGTTTGTGACCTTCCTCTTAGAACCTTTGACACGGTAAAGGTTGGAATGTGACTCAGCGTCTCAGATACTGAGGTCGGTGCTACATTCTTTGTAAGGTCGCCTTCTCTGCTCCGGGGGATGTCTGGAACTTCTGCCAGCATCCTGTTTCAGATTCACCTCTTCCCTTTCTCGGTGGCTGGCTCTGTCCTCTCTGTTCCTTTTGTCCAGGGACCGCTCTCTCCTGCGCTCGGGGGAGCGCGCGCGCCTCCGGTCGGTGGACTTGGCCCTCCGCTCGGGCGAGCCTCCTCTCCTGCGCTCGGGGGACCTCCTCTGCTCCAGGAGTCTCTCCAGAGACCGTCTCCGCCGGCTGGGCGAGCCGTCTCTCCTGCGGGTGGGTGACCGCTCTCGCCTCCGCTCGGGAGAGACCTCTCGTCTCTTGTCGTGCTTCTCCCTCCTCTCCAAAGTGTTGTCGGCGCTGCGGGTGCCCTCCCTCCGCTTCTCCGGGGACCGCCTCTTGGGGCCGTTGGCGGCCGCCGCGCGCTCGGCCTGCGCGTCCCTCAGTCCCTCCGGCGCCCGGTCCTTGGGTCGGCATGCCCCGCTGTCGGGTTTCCTCGAAGTCCCATTCCAGGTGTGGTGTTCATTGGGTTGTCTGCTATACTCCCTGCTGCCTTTCGGATCCCTCGCGTGTTCCCGCTTTTCCCCATGTAGTGATGATTTGTGAAGATCGGGTAGGTAACTGGACTCCAATGACGGATGCTGCCGGCGGTCGGGCCCGGCCCTCACTTCCGGAACACCTTGTGGACCGGTGGCGGGGCCGTGGCGGTCGCTGCTGGGGTCTGCCAGGAAAATAGAGAGAGCAACAGTTGGGTAGGAAGGTCCCTCGGCGCCTGTCCCCGCTCCCACCCACATTCGAGACTTCATTAGTCACAACAAGCAAACAACTGTTAAAGCAGTCAGACTCAAAGCCAACTGAATCTTGTTAATTTTAGGACAACTGCATGTAGTTAGGGTTGAAAACTAGTACTTGTGGCTTTCAGCGTCGAGCTGGCTGACTGTTCTGCATACCCGAGGCATAGAACAGACAAAAATCAGTCATAATTTGAGTCTTTTAAAGGCACAATCCAAATAGTCTGTCTAGAGGCATCAACATTTCCTCTCTGTAGCTATCCCTTGTTCTTCCTTTCCCACCTCCCAGCCCTTCTCCCCCGCGTCCACCCCTCCCTCTCCCACCCCCCCAAAAAAAATATTCTTTGCTTTAAAGAACACTTGCTTTAAATATTTTAGGGTACTGATCTGGAGGGGCACCTGGGAAGCTTTCTGGAGGAGGGTGGGAATCATCTATATCTTATCTGGGTGGAGATTAAATGGGCATACATAGAAGTAAAAAATCTACTGCACTGTATACTCAGGATTTATGCATTTTACCTTATGCAAAAGTCTACTTCTATTTAAAAAAACAATCCAGATTAGCAGGCAAATGGGATAGTTTGCAAGGGCCCATTAAACTGTTCTATTTGTATTATTCAACTACTTTCTCTACTTTTGTGTACATTAAAAAATAAGGAACTGTTTTTAAAATGTGTTTTCTGGTAGATAAATGGGAGGGGGAAGAGAGGCTGTTAGGTACACATTTGAGATTGGATGGGAGTCAGATAAAATTTTCAGTTTAGAGGCACTTTTTCTTTATGATATGGGATGTAGTCATAATGACATGTAAGAGCTTGGAGTCACTGGGATGCTTCCTATAACATCAAGGTTTCCACAGATTTAAAAGCAGGGCAGCCCATAATGGCCCCTATTTATCATTATTCATTATTCGAAATGACAGTGCAAATGTTTTAGGCAGTGTCCTGAATTGAGAAGAGCTCTTTTCAAGGCTGGGATGCTTTGTTGCAACTAAACCCAAGAAGTTGTCCACATGACAGTATTCCAAGCAAAGCGCCTGAAACAAGGTGCAGCAGTGTGGAGGGCAGACTCATGTGATAGTCAGAGACTAAGGGCTCAGTGGGGCTCTTGAAGGATCTTTCATGAGGCAACAAGGTCAGTATTTAGCAATTAATCTGTTTCATGAACAACTTCCCAAAACCTAGAGTGGGCTTTTAACAAAAGCAAGAGAAAAGCAAAAAGCAGGGGTCAGCCAACTTTTTCTAAAGGGCAACAGTAAATAATTTGAGTGTTTTGGGCCATGCCATCTCTATTACAGCTATTCAACTCTGCCACTGTGGCATAAAAACACAGGCAACACAAAAATAATGGGTGTGGCTATGTGCCATTAAAACTTTACTTGCAAAAACAGGCTATGGACAGGATTGGGCCCATGGACTGTAGTTTGCAAAGAGATACCTGACCAAGCAGGAAATCTCACCTTCCCATCTAGCAAAGCCCTGTGATATTGGGCTCCATGATACAAGGTTCATTCTTTCTAAATGATGGGTTGGCTACAAGAATGAACAAAAAACAGGTTTTTTAACAGAGGTCATTTGAAGATTTGAATACAGGAAGGTACTTGGATCACCAATGGATTCTTATGCCTACTTTTAAGACAAGAGGGGGCAACACTTCAACAGGGTCAGCAGTGTACTTACAATTCAAAGAACGCAGGGTGCTCAGAATGAATTGCCAAACATATCAAAACAGAGCTAAGCAGAAGCAATGAGGAAATTAGGCCACAGCACAGAAACACCTAGTATTGATTGAGCTACAAACCGTAGTTTGATTATGGCCCATAAGGTAGAAGCAAGCCTCCCCGAGCTTTTCATTTCTCATACATGCAGCGATATTAGGAGGTATCATCGCTGTGGAAGGGAGGGCCCAGCACCAAGAACAGTCACAGAGAAAGAGAAAGAGAGAAAGAGAAAAAGTTGAACATTTAGATTCCCTATAACACAGAGGAAAGAAAAAAAAATCTGCATTTGTTAACATAGGGCAAAGAGAGTTTATTTGTCCAGTCAGACAGTCTAAGGCAACACTCAAATAAGGCTGCAGAGACCGCAATCGAACAGTGACATTTTTAGACAGCCATCAGGTGACTCGAGAACCCGGACAATGAATGCATCCTTTTTTTTCTTTGTTTTCTTTGTTTTTGTTTTTTGTCTGTTTTTTTTTTTTTTTTTTCAAACAACTGGAACAATGACAGGCTGGCATAGGAGAGCATTAACAATAAACAACAAAAGAACAAAATCCCTTCCCTCCCCCGCCAAAGACCGCGGCAGTTTAAATTAAGTACAAAAAACTCATTACAAAAATAGCCTCACAGAGAAGCAGGTTCCAATCAAGTCAGAAAAATATTGGAACTTAACATATTATAACCCATTTGTGACTCTAATCAATGGAATTAGAGAGATTTAGTCCAAATGACGCATGGAGACATTATAGTAGCACAACCCTGGCAGGTTCAACCCTTGGAAAACCGTGTATTTAAATGATCTTTATTTTTAGCCCAAAGAACATTTGTTAGTGTTGGATTTTCATCCTCAGTGCAACAGACAGAGGTTTTGAGAAGGTACACAGGTTACTGACGATGACTCTCAAATGAAATATCACATCCAACAGAAGCATAGGGAAGACAGAAAAGGGAGACAATGTTACACAGTTTCAGTGGTATCAATACACCTAACGGTCAGTTTAGTACAGTGCACAGCCACGGCATCTAAATGTTGTCAAAATGCTGCCCCTGTGGTTGGCCTTGTCTATAGGGGCCTCATCTGATACCCACCCTCCCCCTATACCTCGGACCCCTCGTATTTTGCACCTGTACAAATGTCCAACACCTGGGAAGGCTGCCCCTCCAAGGAGCTATCCTTCTCCTTGAGCTGCATCTGAATTAAACATCTCATCAAGTCCAAAATGCAACTGGGAATTGTGCAGAATGACTTTCAGAAAAGAGAGTGATAATAGATAAATCCCTAATAAAGGGGACCAACGTATATGGGGACTATTCAATCACAGTTTCTATAGAAACTTTTGTAGACCTTTGGTTGGGAAAAAAAGCCCTACATCTAGGGCATAGCTCTTTTTTTTTTTTTTTTTTTTTTTTTTTAAACACAAATCTCAAATAAATAGGACATAATTATCATATACAATATTTTGCCATCAGAACACTAAGCTATGTAAAGATCGTTGCTGTCTACTCAAATCAAGTCTAAAGATATGACAAAGGAACTTTATGTATAACCTGGCTTTCCTCATAGGAAAGGTATAGTCACATGTTTCCCTCATGATGAGCACTGGGAATCTGTTTCATCCTTTATCATTTAAAAACATTATGGCTAATATATTAACAGTTTTTGTTTGTTTGTTGGTAGTGGGCTCAGATGGTCTGATTTGGGGTAACAGACCCGTTGGGGGGATGGAGAAGTGTTTTATACAAAGCATAACAGAGGTAAGCAAAGCCCCCAAATCTCTCAAAATTTCATGCCTCTTAGATAAAGACACCAAGTAACCAAAAAGGAAAAAATAATTGTGCCTCAACATATCACTCAGGAAACCTGCTTTCCTGCTTCTTAAAAGGAGTATATAGTCATTTTGTGCTAACAACTGGATCTGAGGAACAGTTTGGCACAGTTCAAACAAACATTCCTTCGCTCTTGGTTGGACTAGACAAAATGTTCTCTCTGATTATCAGAAAGGGGGCTATAAAGATCTTGTCTTAGGCCATGCCCCAGTCCATGTAAGCAAGCAAAAGGATGAAATGTGTAGAGATTTCAGAACAAGCGAGGCAAATAATCACATGGTGCGAGAGGCTGGTAAGACACTGGTGAAGAAGGGAAACAAAAAAGACTTTCCTGCTGCCGTTCTGGAGACAAATTCATGGAGTCATGCCAGGGAAGGAAGGAATGTTTTCATAGTTTGACCCACCATATTCTGGTACTGAGCCGTCTCCCCGCTTCAGAAACAGACGAACTCTGCGGCCACCATTCTTAATCAGTTCTATAGCTCGAGAATGCTTCATGTTTTTGGTGGTCTCACCATTGATCTCTAAAATTTCATCACCAATCTGCCGGAGCAAAAGAAAACTAAGTGAGATTTAAAATTCATGTACGGATTTGCTGAATGTTTATTAAGCATGTGGCAGAACATCTATTGCTTTGGATGTGGCAGTGACAAAAACTAACAGAAATCTCTGCCTTCATGGAGATTACATTCTAAAAAAGGAAAGACAAGAATATTAGAAAACTACATGTATGCCGAATTACGTGATAACGGAAAAAGAAGCAGTAAGGGCATGTTTTGGGGTAGACAGCTTTTAGGAAGGCTCCCATGATCTCTGCCTGCTTGCATTCACAACCTGTGCAATCTCCCCCAACCTTTGAATGTGAGCTGGACCAAATGACTTGCTTCTAACAAACAGAATGTGATGGAAAACATGGTTTATGACTTCAGGGACTACATCCTAAAAAGCATGTCTTTCTCTTCAATCACTCACTGTAGGGGAAGCTAGATGCCNATATCAGTTTATCAGTCATAAAACTATTTTGTCATCTGCCTTACTCGCCCTCTTTCCTTCTCTCACTTGTTTGCTCTGATGCATGTTATGAGCTGTGCTCTGGAGTCCCAGATAATGAAATGAGGGATTGCCCTATAAGGCACTGAATCCTGGTAACAACCATGTCAGTGGGCTTACAAACCAACCCTTCCCCAGGCGAGACTTCAGATGAGACCATAATCCTGACTGATACATTAAATGCAACATTCACTTTTTCTGAGTCACTATTCTAGGCACTGGAAATAAAAGAATAAATAAGACAGGGCAGATCCCCACTCAGATAGAGTTTATATTCTACAGAGGTTTCAAGTCTATAGCCTTTAATTTGAATCCTATCATTTGGTAACTGATTTGCTCACAGTACTTTAACTTCCTTGAGTCTGCTTTCTTACTTGTAGGAGGCTGATAACACCACCCACGCCCACCAAGCTGCTGGGATCAAATCAGGTAATCATGTGAGCCTATCATGTAAACTATACACCATTATATAAAATAGCATGATAATAATATCTCATTTGATCAGAAACTTTTTAAAGTGATTAAAAGATAAGGGAAAATAAATTCCTTATGTCTGAAATTCAAACAAAAGAAATGTGTACCACCATGTATCTTCTCTTATGTATGCACATACAAAAGAAAAGGATATGAGAGAAACTGGCATGCTGTTTGACCCCGGACACTGCATTTTTACTACATACCATTTTTCACTGTTTAATTTTCTTAAAACACATTCATGCTCTACATTCTCAATTTTACAAAAATGTTAAAAAATTCACTCTGAAGAAACTTAAACATCAAGCTGGTGGCTTAAGAGCAAGTGTTATGATCCTCACCCTTAATCAGTTTTTCCCTTTTTCTGCTCAGGCCCAACTGCATTCACTTTTTTCCTTTACTGGCCTGACTGTCTTGATTTCTTTTAATTTGTTGTAAATGGCTCTCCATGGGTAAGTCCCAATCTATGTTATCTGTCTATGAGTAGATGATTTATGTTTTCTTAATCATCTAATCTGCCCAGGAGAACAGCACATTCATCTACAGTAACAGATATTAGCAAAACAGAGTGGACTTTTGGCATTTATGTATTTAAAATTTGTAGCTTTAAGTACTACAGAGCAACTCTGAATATTCATGCTGCAGACACCTGGCTTTTTGCTAAGGCAGAGAGCAGACTTGCTCTCTCTGAGCCAATGTAAGACCAATGGTAACCAGCTAGAGGATAAGTAGACCTCACTGTCCAGAATCTATAGGGCCACATGGTTTTCCTGTTTTCTAAGCATCCCAGAGTACCCCAGCATTCCTGCCAAAGTGCTGTGCCTGCCCCATGAGACTGATCACAAGAACTATAGAAGTGGGCTCTGGAAAGTATCTACTTTAACATGTTTGTAAGTAATTTAAATCCCTTATTCAGCCCCAAAGAGTTGAAAGTGTTCACCTAACTTTAGCAGTTATAATTAATCATGCTTTAGGGAGAAATATTTGGTAGAGTAGGAGTCATGCATTTAGAGAATCATGAAAGCTGTAGAAAATGTAATTCTTATGAACATGAACATTGTAACCATATATGACAAGAAGTCACTGCAGATGGTTTATTTGCACCTACCCCAGACTCCTCTCCCCACTCACCCTCATCTTTCCACACCTCTCTGCAGGACCATCCTCTGCTAAGCGCAGAACGTAGAGGTCCATATTATACTCTCGGCCCCCTCGAAGGCTAAAGCCAAATCCCTTGGCTCCTCTTTCCAGTTCCACAGTGTAAAAGTCTTGCTCCTATTTAAAGAAATTAAATGCAATCATTCTAGGAGAACCCATGTCCATACGGCTCTTCCCAAACATTCTCTATTATGCTGATTTGGCAAAAAGGCACAATCTCTATCCCCCTCTTGGTGACTCTTGTTTATTAATCATCTGGATTCTTCATTAATCTCAGAAGTCAGAGATACAAAATTTGAAAACATTTATGAACATGTCTATATGCATGTGTGTATTTAATATAACATGTGGGTTAAAATTTAATCAATGAGGCTGCGATTTGCATTTGTGGCAGGGCAATTCCTTATTACATGATACCAGCCACCTGACTGCTGGATGCCCAGCCTCCTGGACTTGTGTCCAATAATGCTGGCTGGGCCCATCATGAAGATACCAACAAAACCTCTCCACATCTTGGTCAAGGAAAATTATGAAGGGACAACCAAAAGCCCCTAGGCAACCAGTAAAGAAGGAACCCAGCTGGGCACTTGTATTACCAGCTACTCAGAAGACTGAGACAGGAGGACTGCTTGAATCCAGGAGTTTCAGTCTGGCCTACATAGCATAGCGAGACCCCTGTCTCTCAATAAAAAAAGAGAATCTGTTTAATTTTGCATCACCCAAAGTTCCTCAAATTTGTTTCACCTGCTGTTATTTTCACACTCTCCCTCACCATGCTGATGACAGGTATTTTGCTCTGTGGATCTCACCTTAAATTCCCAAGCCTGAGAAACACCTGATCAAAAAGACATTTTCCTGGCAGAAGCATGTCAATGAATACTATGAGTAGATATTGGCTGCTTTGCTTTCTCTAACTGCTGATCCTTGTGACAGTTCCTGCTTTTCATTTTTTGTTTTTTACCCCCTAGAAAAGGCTATCTAGGAATATTTTAAGGTAGTAAAATAAAATGTTGTTTCCTAGACAATCAACTCTAAGTCCATATTTGGTGTGTCACCTCACAAAAGGATATTTCTTTTAAATTAAAGGTGCTTCAAAAAATATCCCATAAAAATAGCTTCAGAAAGTTGGAAGGAAATGTGCAAAGCATAAAGAAAAAAGGGAAATGATGCTCACCTGTGTTGCCTGGGGAGCTTTGAACTCAAACTGAGATTCCTGCTTTGGTTTGGTGGTATTCCTGCCAAAGTGAGAGAGAAACAAATGTAAGAGCAACCCATTAGGAAACTGAGAGAATCAAGGACAGAAACTATCATGCTGAGAGTTACTTTTTTCCCCTTTAACAAAGGAAACCAAAGCCATGTCTGACCTTGTCTCCTGGGCCCCCTGCTGAGAAGGGGTGTGTGTGGTGGTGATGGTGGCGATCTTCTCTGCATTGGTCAGCAAGGTTGCATTCGAGGACTCTGCAAAGAGGGACAGAGCATAAAGAAATGAAGGCCCCAGAGAAGACATCCTCCAGCCAGGAGGTGTATAGAAGCCCTGTATCTGAATAACAAGTCTAACTTCTCTGTCCCCATTTCAAACAGTCTGACTTGAATTTCTAGACAATTAGTTTAATAAACCATTTTAAGATCATCTCTTATCTTAAAATGTGTGCCCCCATGACCCGCCTCCCAAACAGACACCTCCACAAATAAAACAGGATTTGCCAAAGAAGACACTGCTCTAAAATTGTAGCCCAGGTAGGTGTTTCTCACTCCTCCCCTGCCACTGAAAAACGGCAGTCCCATCAAAGTGCTGCACCAAGGCAGATTATCTCCCAGAACTTTAAAGGCTGATAATAAATGTCTCTGCTAACGTTCCCTGCAATTTATCAGCAATATTTAGTGAGTCTGCTTGATTTCCTGAAGTGAATATTAATATCAGAAGTGTACTAACATCTTGTTAAACACGCACACATAATATACACTTTCTTTCCTGTTGCTTTTACTAAAGTACAAGTGAAAATACGGAACTCTTGACAGATCTTGTTTAGTGTCATGAAAAGTCAATTTTAAAATTTGCATTAGTCAGAGCCAGAGTTTGTAAATATAAGTTATATAAATCATGAAGCCACCTTCATGAAATGAATATTATTAAATCCCTATACAAGTTGGCCTTCTTCTCCACTAATCACATTCACAAGCAACTTCATTAATCTCTAGAAGTTCAGAGATTTAGAATCCAAAAACACTCTTAAATGCAACTACAGACTGCACACCAACATGCATGTATTAAATGTAACCATTCCTCTAGTAATGGCTAATAAAATTATTTAGTAATAATTTCTTCATTAAGATCAAGGCAAGCAGCAACCAACTATAGCAAGTTGTACTTTTAATGTTTAATTTTAGGTTGACTGGAACTTGGCATACATTTTCTAATAAAGAAAATGCTAAATGTGGTGTTAAGTTCCACTGTAAGATTCACCTGTGCATGCCCATTTAATTCAGTGCATCACTAAGTCTAGAAGTTTCCAGGAGACCTATGGCTTACAGTAGGCACTTTCATGTTTGCTGAATACATGTGATTTACTTCCCATCAGATTTAATAAGGTGTCTATGGGAAATATGTTAACTATTCCAAACTGAGATATCTGGAATACATCTCTTTCCACTAGAGTCGTGGAACAGAAGATAGCCCACAAATCCCAACTACCTGTGGTCTACCTTCCATTTCTATTTCCCAAGGATATCACTCAGCTTTGGTCTGCCTTCCTGTTATTTTATTTTCATTACACAAAGTGTTTAAAAGCATGGGCTTGAGATTCAGACCTGGGATCAAATCATCTTTTTTTCCCCTAGTCATTAACTGTACACCTTATTTTTCTCATCTCTCAAAAGGGGGTGATGACAATAATTCCCTTCTCGTGGATAAAAATAAATGCAATGTTTAAGCTCTGTGCCTGACATACAGTAAGGATTCAATACACATTTATTACAGCTACTACTTTTTATTACTATGAGACCTTATATAAGTTATTTAAACTCTGCAAAATGAGAAAGTTGAAATATGATTTCAAGAGTTAATATACTGCAGTCATAAAAGCCCATTATTCTTATAGCTAAGGCATAAGCATAAGAAAATAACTAAATCAAATGAATTGTTATGTGATTACCATTCATGTTTTGGGACGATATTTCCCACAATCTGTTTTACCAAACGTTTCCTATGGACTCCTCTGAGCCTTTGCTACACCAATATGCCTGTGACTGTCCAAGCTGGGCAGGTGGTATTTCTCAGGCTTATTGGGAGACAGTTTAGCACAAGGTGACTCAGACAAATTCTGGAGTCAGGCTGTATTATCTGGCTTTCCAGTCTAGGCTCTGCAATTTCCTGGATGAGACTTAAGCAAAGGTACTTAAATTCTCAGTGCCTCCATTTCCTTGTCTGCACATGGGGAATAACAGAATTATCTAAGGAAACTGGAGCAAAGATGATCAGAAGAAGATTGTCTGGAATAGTGCCTGGTACACAAAAACTGCTCAGAAGTGATTAGCATATTTTTGGTACCATGTATTTCTTATTGTCATCATAATATTAAAAGCATATTGTTGGTATATTTTAATGACTGCTGTTATAACAAAATTATTTTCAGAGCTTTTGGAGGAATACTAGCTCCTTATATGACTCCCATTTGAGGGAAATTAACCAGCAGAACCAAGGTGATGAATCAGTGACATTTCATAAAGTACGCTCACTGTGTCACTAAATAGGACAAACAAGCTATATATCCCATTGCTGTGACTCTCCAGAACTTTCATAAACACATGTATTGGTCTTTTAGCAAACTTCACTTTGCTCATTGCAATTAATTTTATAGAGACTCTCAGAAATCACCGGGTTGTTCAGGCCATGGGGAAATCATAATCAGGATGCTAAAAAGAATGTTTCTTGGTAATCAAAGTGATTAGAATTACTGAATTGCAGAGGTTCCTCGTTAGAGTTCTTGTGTGTTGTTGGTAGCCAGAGCTTTCTAGGCAGATCAGATTCCATTCTCAAACTATTTTTGTCTTTCTGCTACTTTCATGATTTGATGAGATAGCCATTCAATACACAGAATTCCTTTATTATTTTTATTCCTATCTTTTATTTGCTATTTTTTTCATTTGTATTTCTGTGAAACTCTTTTTGGGTTGAAGCTTAATTTTAAGCATGTTAAAATTAACATTTAACATGCAAATGTTGATTTGAGTTTGCTGAATTTTCCTCCTTTTGTTGTTTTTCTTAATCTATGAAACATCACCATTTAATGATCATTTACAATATGCCAAGCACTGTGCTAAGTCTATTAACACATATATTCCTTCATTTGATTCTTACCACTCAATAAAGTAAGTGCAATTATGGCCCCAGTTTACAAATGAAGACACTGGGGTGTAGAAAATGTAGGTAATATGCCTGAGGTCACTCCAGCAGCAGGGGATACTGGGAATTAAACCCAGGACCTGCCTGACAGTGAACTTTTAGTCGTCTATTTACATGGGAATTATGTGTTGGTATCAAGAAAATCATATCTAATTGGTATATTCCTTTCAAATAAGAAATAATTTTATTTTACTGCATAAATACCAACAACTTCACCAAGCAGTATCATAGATGAATTAAAATACGAAATACCATGCGCTTTGATGGCTAGATTTCATGAGCCATCTTCATAGCTGCATCAAAATAATTTTTGTGTGTACCTTAGATTTCTGGGATGTTTTTATCCTATCAACAAAGTTATATTTGTTTTAATGAACTTTTAAGTCTTCATTTGGAATTATACCAGGATTGTATTTGCTGAAATTCTCTCTAGCTATTTAAAATAGAGAGATGAGCCCATTATAAAAAAGTTACAGCTTTATCCCAAAGCAAAACTAGTCCCTTACAGTAGAAAAAAACATAAAAGAAGGGCCTGAAACAAGAGTATGAGTCTCCCTGCCCTCCAGCAACAGTATCAGAAAGAGCTGTCAATGTATTGACTTTTAAAACTGTAAGGCGCACGGACAGATTGGGTACTTTTAAGACAAATTCCAGAAAGTATCTGATATCGTTTATTAAACAGTGTTTATACCTACTTTAGCTGTCCCAGAGGAGTGACAAGGGGGATACTACACTTTCCATAGCAGTCATATATCAAGAGAAGCAAATCCTAGATCTCATAGCCCTGTCCAGGGACTGTTCCAGATCTCAGCACTTATTCTTCCAACAGGAGCTTCCTTCTTGGGCTTCAATCTACCTATCTGTGATAAGTGATTATAATTCTAACCTGGTTCCCATGTTAACATCCTTAGCCTCCCCTTATGAAATCCACGTTGAAAGCCAAGCAAATCAACAAAGGTATGATACAATTATTCCTGTCGTAAATATTTTAATGAACACATACGTAATAAATATCTAAGAGCAACACAGGAAAATTTGGATCCCATGAATATTCGAAAAGTTTGGGGATATTTTTTACTATTCTAATGCCTTTGCCAAGAAAATAGCAATATCTATATGTTGCCAAGTTCTACCTCCTATATAAGCAAACACTTTGAATCAAAGTATCTGAAGTGCAAATTTAGGACCATCATCAAAATAATGTATTTTTAAGCTCCTAAAGATTTTCATTATGTTTTCATTCAATCTCATGGTTCCATGTTACCTGGCTCAGTGATCTTCTGTCCCTGTCTGATTAAAGTCTTTCTCCCACTCCATGGGGCATCTCCATACAATGCAAATGTCCTTTCACTTCTTAGATTTCAAGTTCAGATTCAGTATGTTCAGCTATTCTCTGGGCTCTTCTATGCTGCCATTGTATATTTATTCATCCCTTACCCATATCTCACAGGAGAGAAGGTTCTGCCCTCCAGAAATGTCCATCCTGTTCCCAAAGAGAATCAAGGCAGAGAAAGATAAGGACTCCCCCAACCTTGGCCTGACCAGGATCTGTGAAAACACACCTGCCAGACCTTCTAGCATACAATAATGCCAAGGAAAGGGGAATCACATTTTGGAGTTTTCGTTGGAAAAGTCAGAGAGAAATGTGGGAAGCAGAGTGAGGGAAACTGAAGACTGAGCTTAGTGAAACTGGAGAAAGAATGAGGCGACCAATGACAAGAACAAAGAATTAGGTGGCATGAACTAGACATGGAAAAGGACTCAGAGTAGACCCATGCACTGCACAAATGACAGAGCATCTTTTCAAAGGGCCTCGTAGGGTTTCAAGAAGGGTCCCAGACCTGACGAATTCTTTTTGTTCCTCTGGAGAGGTCAGTGGTATGATCTTGACTCCCTGCAATCCTGGCCTCCTGGTTTCAAGCAATTCTTGTGACTCAGCCTCCTGAGTAGCTGGGACTACAGGCATGCGCTAGTATGCTTGGCTAATTTTTTTGTATTTTAGTAGAGACAGGATTTCACCATGTTGCCTGGGCTGGTCTCGAACTCCTGAGCTTAG